GTGTGCCGAAATGGGGGGTGGAACCGCATGCGAGCGCAGCCACTGGAGCGTTCGTTGCGTTCGGTGGAGGCTCCCCATGGAGCCGGCAACGAAGCGGTGTGAGGGTGTGCCAGAATGCGGGTGGAACCGCATGCGGGCGCAGCCACTGGCGCCTTCGGTGGAGCTCCCTATGGGGCCACGAAACGTGTGAGGGGTGTGCCAGAATGGGGGGTGGAACCGCATGCGGGCGCAGCCACTGGGCCCTTGTCTTTCGGTTGCGCGCTCCTCTATGGGCCCGAACGTGTGAGGGGTGGTGCTCAGAGTGGGGGGTGGAACCGCATCGCGGCGTGCGCAGCCACTGGGTGCCGCCTTCGGGGAGCTCTCCGTATGGGCCTCGAAGCGGCGTGTTAGAGGGTGGCCACATGGGGGTACGTGGATGCGGCGCGATCGGGGCGCAGCCACTGGCGGCCTTGTCGTGGTGGTGAGGCCACCTATAGTAGGCCGACGAAACCGTGTGCAGGGGTGTGCCGTTGTGCCAGCGATGAGGGTGGAATACATGCAAAGTTTTGTGTGGATGCAACATGTCGGGATGGACGCAAGGCACAGCCTTTGCGCATGAGGTGCGGTGTGGGCGCATATGGGGGTGGGAACGGGGTGATGCGAACGCAGCCACTGGAGCCTTCGGTGGAGCTCCCTATGGGGCCACGAAACGTGTGAGGGGTGTGCCGACATGGGTGCGGTGCCGCCATGCGAACGCAGCCATTGAGGCCCTCGGTGGAGCTCCCTATGGGGGCCACGAAACGTGTGAGGGGTGTGCCGACATGGGTGCGGTGCCGCCATGCGAACGCAGCCACTGGGGCCCTCGGTGGAGCTCCCTATGGGGGCCACGAAACGTGTGAGGGGTGTGCGTAATGGGGGTGGAACCGGCATGCGGAACCTGCCACTGGGGCCTTCGGTGAGCTCCCTAATGGGCCACGAAAGTGTGGGGTTGTGCCAGAATTGGGGGGTGGAACCGCTTGCGGGCGCAGCCACTGGGGCCTTCGGTGGAGCTCCCTATGGGGCCACGAAACGTGTGAGGGGTGTGCCAAAATGGGGGGTGGAACCGCATGCGGGCGCAGCCACTGGGGCCTTCGGTGGAGCTCCCTATGGGGCCACGAAACGTGTGAGGGGTGTGCCAGAATGGGGTGGAACCGAATGCGGGCGCAGCACTGGGGGCTTCGGTGGAGCTCCCTGTGGGCCGAAACGTGTGAGGGGTGTGCCAGAATGGGGGGTGGAACCGCATGCGGGCGCAGCCACTGGGGCCTTCGGTGGAGCTCCCTATGGGGCCACGAAACGTGTGAGGGGTGTGCCAGAATGGGTGTGGGAGGGGGCTGAGGGCAGAGGAAGGGGAGGAGGAGGAAGGAGGAGGAAGGAGGAACGCGGGGCGACGTCTCCTCAAAACGAGGACCCAACACCACAGGATGGTTGGGAATCAACCCAGAGGTTTTCGTATTTTTCGGTCTCTAGGGGCCCTCGCCGGGCCTCGGGAGCGTCAAAACACGGCTCAGGATCGAGAACCGGCCCCAGTCGCACGTCTGGGCATCATCCACGCGGCGCTTCCGGGCGGCGCCCCCCCCTCTTTCCCGTGCTGGCCACCTTCCGCAGCCGCCCTCCTCTGTCGCCCGCCTGCTCATGTACAGCTCGCCTATAGCAGCGCCCCCGCTTGGGCCATACGGACGCCGTGTGCGTTCGCCACCGCTGCCACCAGCAAGCGTGTCGGCCGTCTTCCCGTTCTCGGAGCGCCGCGCCCTCGCGGTGCACCGCAGCCCCGTGCCCCCCCCCCCCACGCCCCCGAAGATCGACTGGACGCAAGAGTGACCTTTCGCCGGAATGACCTTTGGTGCGGGCGCAGATGGGTCCCCAGATGGCTGAAAACGAAGCAGGAGCAGCGGCCTGCGCGCCCAGGTTTGGTCCCCCCCCCGGCCCCCAGAAAGCCGCGCACCAAAGGTCTGACCCAGGGTCACTCTTGCGTGTAGCCGGAAGACCACTGCGGGGCACTCCCGGCGAGTGCCGTGGGCACGCCGTGGCAGCCGCGCATTCCGCGCAGTCGGCCCGCGGCGCCACGGACGCTTGATGGGCGAGTTATTATCCACCACCGCTGCCATAGGGAGAAGGGAGGACGGGGAGGTCCTCCTCCTGCTCCTCCTCCTCCTACTCCTCCTTCTCCCCCTGCTCGTCCTCCTCCCCCTCCTCCTCCTCCTCCTCATTCTTCTCCCCCTCCTCGTCCTCCGCCTCCTCGTCCTCCTCCCCCTCCTCCTCGTCCTCCTCCTCCGCCTCCTCCTCCTCCTCCTCGTCCTCGGTTCGGTTCGCTTCGGTCATCGTGGGGGCACGGAGCCCCCGCACGCCTCCAAAGCGCGCGAGCCGCAGCCGGACGCCCACAACGCACACGCCCTGGAGGCCCCATCTTCCGGTGTCTGGGGCTCCAACCTTGCTGCGCATGGCTCCTCCACCGGCGCCAGGGCCCGCTGGCCCCACCCTTGTAGCTAATGACGTTCCCAGACATGCTCGCGTCGTAGATATACACAAATCAGGGCGCGAGGTATTTGCCAGTTTTCGGCCCCTGGGGACCCTCGCCGGGCCTCGGGACCGTCAAAAAAACGACTCAGGACGAAAAACCGGCCCCGGGGAAATGGGCGGGACTTCCCGGGACGCCGTCCTGAAAAAATCAGGACGTCGCATGTCTGGGTGTAGCTGACAACGTTGGGATCCAGCTTCACTTCACCTGGCACCTCCCACATCCCCTGGAGCACCCCCCGTAGCCGGCTGCCACTGCTCGCCCATCTGGCACGCGCTGATCCTGGCACTGCAGATGTCCTCCTCGGACGCGCTGACCCCAAGGCTGTACGTGATGACGAAGGGCTCCCGTTCCGCCACGCACCTCCGGTTGGGCAGCGTCAGATCCCACTGCAGCCACTCGGCCTTCTCACACTCGTTGGTCCCAGCGTTATCACCGATGGCACCAGGCGCTCCACTTTTTCCACTGCCCACTGCAATCGCAGTCGGGCTCCCGGGGCCACCACATTCCGCGCCAAGCACCGGCCGAGCCCGCTGCCAGCGCTTCTTCATTTATTATTAGTTTTATTGTTGTTAGTCTTATTTGCATCATTGTTATTATCTATGTTATTGTTTTTACTATTATTCCATAGTGTTATTAGCATATTATTACTACTACTATTACTATTCTTTGTATTCGTATTATTATTACTCGTACACTTATTAGTATTGCCAGTATTCTCATGTTCACTAATATTCATTATTATCAGTGCTGTTGTTATTATTATTATGACTATTATTATTATTATTATTATTCGTACGATTAGTATTATTATTACTATTAGCATTAGTATCATT